GGTCTTCCACCTGGTCCTCTTGGACGCATAATAAGTAAGGTCCTAAGAAAGACCTCCGATACAACTTCTGATCCGGAGAGACCCAAAATCTCAGGGCTTTAAGTTTTATCTTCCTTGCTTCCTTTGAACACTCCGGGAGGTCTCCTATTTTTAGGAACCTAAGAAAGGGATCAATCCAGCTGGGCGGTTTATGTGCGTCCTGGACGGCCATTGCCTCGGGAGCATGGTCTATGCAGGATGTGAAAAGATATTCTATGGTGATCCTGCGCGACTGAGAGAAATCCACTGCCGAGGCTAGACAAGCCAGGGCGTCGGCATGCGTGTTCTTGTCTCGGGACACTTGTTTGATCTCTTCTGAATCTTCGGATTACAGTTGTCGCCTGGTGATGGTAAGCCTTCATCCTAGGGTCCCTTGTCTCAAACTCTCCGTTAACTTAGTTGACTACCAGCATAAAATCGCAATGCATGATCAAGTCCGTAACTCCAGTTGCCTCAGCTAACCGAAGCCCTGAGATGAGGGCCTCGTATTCAGCTTCATTATTCGACGCTTTGAATCCCAGCCGAATGGCCTGCTCCGCCACCATCCCATCTGGAGAGACCAGCAAGATACCGATCCCGGACCCCTTACTATTCGATGAACCGTCCACACACAAAAGCCATGGTGATCCCTCACAATTCGTTGGAGACGCTATGTCGGTAGGAGGCGGTCTTTCTAGAACGGGATGTTCCCCCGAAAACTCAACTATGAAGTTTGCCAATACCTGACCTTTTATAGCAGTTCGAGGTTTGAAATGAATGTCGTGTTCCCCCAGCTCCACTGCCCACTTGAAAATCCTTCCGGAGAGTTTCGTTTTCCTCAAAATGGCCTTTAAGGGCTGATCGGTAAGGACGATAATTGGGTGCGCCTGAAAATAATGCCTCAATTTTCTTGCAGTGGTGACCAGGGATAGAGTCAGTTTCTCTAGGGGCAGGTATCTTTTCTCCGCGTCCAGGAACGCCTTGCTTATGTAATAAATCGGCTTTTGGCGGTACTCATGCTCACGAATAAGTACCCCGCTTACCACAAATTCAGATACGGATACGTACAAGAAGAGCATTTCCCCCTGGATAGGAACGGATAAGGTCGGGAGAATCCTAAGGTATTCCTTGATTCCAGTTAGGGCGTCTTCGCACCCCTGGCTCCACATATCCTTCCCAGCACTCTTGATTGCTTCGAAAAAGGGTTTGCATTTGTCTGAGCAGCGTGAGACGAAACGGTTAAGTGCTGCCAGCATCCCCGTGAGCTTTTAGACTTCTTGGACAGTTCGAGGGCTCCGGATGTCCAGGATCGCTTGAATCTGATCCGGGTTAGCTTCAATTCCTCGTTGACTGACCAGATATCCGAGATATTTACCTGATTCCACTCCGAAAATGCACTTTGTTGCGTTCAGCTTCAGCCCGTACTCCCTGAGGGTGGAGAAGGTATCTGTNGAAATTTACCCGATTCCACTCCGAAAATTCACTTTGTCGCGTTCAGCTTCAACCTATACTCCCTGAGGGTGAAGAAGGTATCTGCCAAATCTGTCAAATGATCACAACTTCATTTGCTCTTCACCAGCTTATCGTCAATGTAGACCTCCATGGTGTTGTCGATCTGCTTTTTGAACATCTGATTCATCAGTCGTTGGTATGTCATCCCGGCGTTCTTTAGTCCGAACGACATCACTTTGTAACAGTAAACTCCCTTCGGAGTGATAAACGCCATTTTTTCCTGATCTGGGGGATGGAGAGGGATCTGGTGATATCCTGCTCGGGCATCCAGGAAGTCCATGCGTTCATATCCGGCAGTGGCATCCACTAGCTGGTCCACCTTTGGTAGGGGGTAGTCGTCCTTGGGACATGCCTTGTTTAGACCTGTGAAGTCTACGCAGACACGCCATTTCCCCCCCTTCTTCTTCGCTCAAACCGTGTTAGACAGCCATTCTGGGGACTGTATCTCCCGAATGGCGTTGGCTTTCAGGAGTTTGTCGATTTCTTCGTTGACCGCGCAGGCGTGATGCGGGGCCATGCGTCGTGGCTTCTGTTTTACTGGCTTGTGCGCCGGGTCAACATGCTGCTTGTGCGTGATTATCTCGGGGTCTACTCCCGTCATTTCCATTGCGTTCCAAGCGAACACGTCTGCATTTCTCCTCAGAAACTCTATCATCTCCTCTTGTTCGGCTGCGGGTATTGCGGTTCCAACTAAGAAGTGTCGTTCTTCTTCTCCCTCCACCAAGGGCACCTTTCGGAGGTCCTCCACCGACCGTTCCGTCGGGTCAATCCGGGGTTCATCCATTCCTGGACGCCCGGACTGTGATTGCTATTTTTCCATGATCTCTTTTGGAGCTCACCCCATTTCTTAGGTGAAAGCCCCGGCTCTAACAGCTGAATAAAAACATTTTTTTTGCAGACGCTTGGTCCCTTCGGATCTGCATGATCCCCTCCAGGGTGGCGAATTTCAGTTTCTGGTGATAAGTGGAGTGTACCGCTCCCAACGCATGCAGCCATGTTCGTCCCATGATCACGTTGTAGGGAGAGTCCGTATCAATCACGAAAAACTCGATGTTGATGATGAAGGGACCTGTGACCACTGGCAATGTGATTTTGCCTATGGGCAGGGCGAACAAACCGTTGAATCCGATGAGGGGTGTCCTAACCTTGGTGAGGTCCTTGAGGCCAAGACTCATCCGTTTTAAAGTCTCAGAGTACATCACTTCTAAGGAACTTCCAGAGTCTATCAACACTCTTTTGACGTCGAATTTTCCTATCTTCAGGGTNTGGAGTCTATCAATACCCTTTTGACGTCGAATTTACCTATCTTCAGGGTTAAGACAAGGGTGTCGTTATGAGGAGTCACCACGCCTATTAAATCTGCGTCGGAGAACGTGATACTGGGCTCTCCAGTCCTGGCCCTCTTACTGGGTGGCCCCTCATCATCCTCGGTTACCTTCCTTGTAAAAGCTACCCTCTTGAGATCGGACTCGAGTTCTTTGGACGTGGGACGATCTAGCAGACATACATGGATGACATCTATGACGTTGTCCGGCTCCTCGGTCGGGGCAGGGGTTTGTCTCTCTTCCGGCCTGGGCTCTATGTATTCTTTCAAGTATCCGTCTCGGACCAATCTTTCCAAGAACGATTTGTATACCCTGCAGCTTTCAGTACGATGTTCGAAATTTCGGTAATAGGAACACCTAACCTTTTGATCACGGGTGGAGGGATCGCTCTGCATCCTGGGCAGCCACTTGAAGAATGGCTCATGCTTTATCTTGTGGAGCAACTTGAAGATGGGTTCTATAAATATAGTGTGAACTCCTTTGGATGCCCCCCCCGGAGGGGGTAGCAGTCCTTTTCGGGGAGTATCCTCCCGCTCCCTTTCTTTTCTCTTAGATTGGAGGGTTCGGCCTTTGCTGCTTCTCATCTCGTCCTCGATCCTTGAGTACTTGTTTATCTGGGTCATCAGCTCACCCATATCCGAGGGAGTCTTCTTGGTCAGGGATCGGTACAGGTCTATGTCCCTTGCCAAGTCGAGCCTAAAAGACGTCGTTGTCATGACTTCCGAGCAGCCTTCTACCTCATTAATCTCTTTCTAGTACCGGAAGGCGTACTGGAGAAGGGTCTCGAATTCCCTACGTCTGAGCGTTAGCAATGACCCAACATCTTTAGGCCGCTTACTCCCCGTAATGAATCGAGCCAGGAACTGCCTTGTCAATTCCTTCCACGAACCAATGCTGTTGGGAGGAAACGCCTCGAACCACTTCATCGCAGAGTCCCCTAAGCTCATAGGAAACACTCGACAGAGGAACCGTTAGTCTGAATGATACAGGGACATCATTTGCTTGTATTGCCTGAGATGGGCTTCAGGATCGGACCGCCCGTCATAAGTTTTGAACCTCGGCACGACGAACTTTCTTGGAACCTCCATCTCTCTAATCTCCCTAATAAAGGGTGTTTGTATGACCTCGTCTTCGACCTCATCCTAGACAACCTTACTCTTTCTCCTGGATTCCAACCGGGCTCTGAGATCAATTTCCTCCTTGACGGGATGTCTTCTGAAGTCCTTGAGTTTATCAAATGGCCTCGCATTTCCTGGGCGCCGTGTGGATAGGGTTGAATCCTCATCGAACTCATCTCCTTTCCTTCGTCTCGACAATCCTCGCCAAAGGTCGTCCAGGGCTAAAGGCCTTGCCTTCTTTGAATGGTCGTTAGGAGGGTGCTCGTTGGCTCTCGGTCGCTTTGGGGCCCTGGAGCTTTCTGCCTTGTTGTTTAAATGATTTCTTAGATCCTTCGTTTCTGCCTCCCGGGCGAGGAGCCCACGAGAAAGGAATGAGTCCCTCGACACTTCGCCGGAGGCGGCGAATTCGTTGAGCCGGCTTAGGACGTTTATATTATCCTTTTTCAGCTGTCGTAATCTATCGCCAATCTTATCTTCGATCACCTCCGCCAATTGACGAGCCAAGGGGGTGGATCCGCCTGATCTGATGCCCATATTGGTTTGAGGGGTAACCCCTCTTGTCTGAATAGAGGCATTTTTATTCCCATCAGTGTGATCCCTCCCTCNAGCCTAGCCTAAGCTAGTGACCTGTACATCAATAGTCTCTGTAGGAGCAGAGAACGCCACCCTGGACGGAGGTACATCTCGAACCCAAGGGGGAAGTTCATCTCGGAGCCGAGGGGAGGTGCATATAGCGACTGATGTACCCATATCAGACCGAGGGATACGTGTCCGTTCGTAAACGTATTAGATGTCACTTAATCCCTATGACAAAGTACCTCGGGGGAGCGGGACTTGTGTGCCGATGGGTACGTGATTTCAGTAACAGGATTTAGTGACACCGAGGACACGTGTCTTCATCTTGGAGTATTTCGGAAATGTCCTATCACAATCTATTTCTTATTTGTATAAAAATAGAATTTATTTGTTGAAAAGCTTGATGCATCGTACATTATTACAACTTGTCCAAAAACCAACCTCATCATATATGCAGAAGCCAAAGCCATTGCATATTCAAGCATTTAAGAAGCCAGTAGCAGTAAACCGGTTAGAATTCATCACTGATGTTAGTGTCAAACTGGCTATTCCTGTTGGGCCCCGTTTTCAAGCTGATGTGCCCGATTGGATTGGCCATATTGGTGACAGTGAATTAAACACTTCAAGGTGGTTGGGCACCCGAACATGGCCAGTCAAAGGAAGCTGCCTAGAAACAAATTGTAATGCGATTGGAAGAGGAAGACCCGACTTTTGTTCATGCATTACTCCCGGATCTATAGAATGTGTTAGACGGCATGTTACTGACAAAAGGAGTGAGCTGCAGTATGATCTAGGAACCGTCTTTTGGAAATGGAAATTTGACATGATGGGAGAATCTGTTTCCAAAGTTGTGGAATTTGGATGAGCAGAGAAAGTTTGCTTATCCTGTCAAAACAAATCCCACATCGCATGGTAAAACCTTTCTAAATTCTGCCTTGGAGTGCTTTCTTTCCCATTCTAGAGAAAGCATATTGAGCTACTATTTCAACGTATATATTCCTAGGCGCATTGGCTTGCAGACCAGGTCAAGCTATGCAGAAGTCAATACCGATGAAGATGAGATTGCAGAGGCCCCTTATTCTAAAGGGTCTCGGAAAAGATGTCGAGTTGATAGTGTTACCTCAATCAGTTCTAAATGCGTGAAAGGCTACTTGACTGGGAGATGATAATGCTACTAATCTGCAAGTATCTAATACTTCCTTTAGCTTCTGGTAGAGGCTAGGAGGAGCGTTATTTTGAATTCTCTTTGTCAATTTGTAATTTGTCTTGATCATGTCTTTTTTGTCAATTTGGTACTTGTTTGTTTTCCACTGAGGTTTGAAACCAATTATTAGTTGTTTGATCACGACATTACCACCCAAAAAATTTTAATTACTATTTTTATAAATTTGGGATATCAGGACATGAATTTTTGGGTTGAATTATGACTTTGATTCCACTAATGTCTAATCTTAATACGGTATGCAAGCATATAGTTTGGCTTAATTGGTTAATGTGGGCAACGTTACAAATTTTTCAAGCTCTTGCGCAGGAAGGAAGCTTCGCATATGGTTTGAAAACCNCAAAATTTTAATTACTATTTTTATAAATTTAGGATATCACGACATGAATTTTTGGGTTGAATTATGACTTTGATTCCACTAATGTCTAATCTTAATACGGTATGCAAGCATATAGTTTGACTTAATTGGTTAATGTGGGCAACGTTACAAATTTTTCAAGCTCTTGCGCAGGAAGGAAGCTTCGCATATGGTTTGAAAACCGAATCTTTTATCTATGTGGCATAGGTACTGATTTGATGATTGGTTTTAAGGAATGGCAACTGGTAAGGTGGTCGACTGGCTCCCTTGAGCTGGTTGACTCTAAGATGCTTAGAGACTCAGATCATCAGCATAGGATCTTGCTGTCCAACTTGTTCCTTAACCCCATTGTGGCACAAGTCAGGACTTGTTGCTCCACAACCGGGTCCCTTGCCAAGNTGGCATAGGTACTGATTTGATGATTGGTTTTAAGGAATGGCAACTGGTAAGGTGGTCGACTGGCTCCCTTGAGCTGGTTGACTTAGAGACTCAGATCATCAGCAATAGGATCTTGCTGTCCAACTTGTTCCTTAACCCCATTGTGGCACAAGTCAGGACTTGTTGCTCCACAACCGGGTCCCTTGCCAAGTACTAAGAGCCACAGGAAACAACGGAGACATCTGAAACAGTTAATTTGGTGAACCGGGTTTTTGAGTTTGATGTCTCTACGATNGCATGATGGGAGAATCTGTTTCCAAAGTTGTGGAATTTGGATGAGCAGAGAAAGTTTGCTTATCCTGTCAAAAACAAATCCCACATCGCATGGTAAAACCTTTCTAAATTCTGCCTTGGAGTGCTTTCTTTCCCATTCTAGAGAAAGCATATTGAGCTACTATTTCAACGTATATATTCCTAGGCGCATTGGCTTGCAGACCAGGTCAAGCTATGCAGAAGTCAATACCGATGAAGATGAGATTGCAGAGGCCCCTTATTCTAAAGGGTCTCGGAAGAGATGTCGAGTTGATAGTGTTACCTCAATCAGTTCTAAATGCGTGAAAGGCTACTTGACTGGGAGATGATAATGCTACTAATCTGCAAGTATCTAATACTTCCTTTAGCTTCTGGTAGAGGCTAGGAGGAGCGTTATTTTGAATTCTCTTTGTCAATTTGTAATTTGTCTTGATCATGTCTTTTTTGTCAATTTGGTACTTGTTTGTTTTCCACTGAGGTTTGAAACCAATTATTAGTTGTTTGATCACGACATTACCACCCAAAAAATTTTAATTACTATTTTTATAAATTTGGGATATCAGGACATGAATTTTTGGGTTGAATTATGACTTTGATTCCACTAATGTCTAATCTTAATACGGTATGCAAGCATATAGTTTGGCTTAATTGGTTAATGTGGGCAACGTTACAAATTTTTCAAGCTCTTGCGCAGGAAGGAAGCTTCGCATATGGTTTGAAAACCGAATCTTTTATCTATGGGGCATAGGTACTGATTTGATGATTGGTTTTAAGGAATGGCAACTGGTAAGGTGGTCGACTGGCTCCCTTGAGCTGGTTGACTCTAAGATGCTTAGAGACTCAGATCATCAGCATAGGATCTTGCTGTCCAACTTGTTCCTTAACCCCATTGTGGCACAAGTCAGGACTTGTTGCTCCACAACCGGGTCCCTTGCCAAGTACTAAGAGCCACAGGAAACAACGTAGACATCTGAAACAGTTAATTTGGTGAACCGGGTTTTTGAGTTTGATGTCTCTACGATACAGCAGTGTGCAAAATTTTAGCTCGCACAGGATTTATTAGCCCCAATTTCTGAATGAAAGAAGAAACCAATGGTATCAGTATCGACAATGGTTCCACCACAACATTTGCAATCATATTCAGATAAAAAAACACAAGAATCCTAGCAAATCAAATTAGTTCCTGAAGGCAAAGGAATTTAGGAGCGAACCAACAAATAATTCCAATACCATTTTCACTCACAAGCAAAACAGTAGCAGACAAAGTGGGGAGTGGGGCTGAAACTTGAAATGGAGTGGAGCGAAGGGCTGCCAAATGCTTAGGAGGTACAAATTACAAAGGAAAAGGGAAGATTAACATACAAGTTGGATACAAGGATCTAGGGTCTGTCCCAGATGATATATATCCCAAGCCTTTACAGTGAATTGCTGCCATTGTTGTTTGATTCTCAGCTAGCATGTTGGACATTGCTCTGCCAAAGCATTGCACTGAAACAACAGCAGCAGAGTTGCACGTGGGGATGCCCTATGTTGGAATGAGAAGAAACTCAAAAGTTCAAACCTGCCCTGGACATCTCCTTTTCATGGCTGTCTTCCCAATCCAGCAGCAAAACCATTCGTCTATCCACTTTTCGACATCAACACTGGTGGGCATTTCTGAATTCAATATGATATCAGGAAAAAAGGAGCCAAATTTATTCCTCATAACTTGACACCCAAGGCCTTGCTCAACTTTAACACCTTCATCCTTGTTGATTTAATGCACTGAAAAGAGGGAGAGTCCAGCTCATGAAGACGGTTGCTCTTATGTTGCCTGGCAATGGCCTTCTATATCAGCTCAATGCATCTCGCTACCTTTTAGAGAAAGAAAGTTGGGCCACTACGGAAGTCGGAGCCTCCGGCAGATTCATAATAACAATATTGAGCATAGCTTGAGCATCTGACATACAAACCACCCTCATGACACCTTTGCTGCAAGCCAAAGCCAAACCTTCCACATTGCTTTGAGTTCTGAATCAAGATGGTAACACCCCCCAAATCGACATAGAAGCCAAGTGACTGTTGGATCATATCACATCTGACAATCCCTCTTCAGCAGCTCCTGTATTCTGTCATGAGCATCCTTCGGCATTCAACAAGACCCTCTCATGTAGGAGGGACTCAAGGTATCATAAATAACTGTTTACTTCTCTATTAGAAATGATAACTCCGGGGTTGGCTTACATTACCATTTGGCATTGTATGGATCTGTTCTCAGGGAGATGAATAATCTGTAAGTATATTTNGCTCAAGGTATCATAAATAACTGTTTACTTCTCTATTAGAAATGATAACTCCGGGGTTGGCTTACATTTCCATTTGGCATTGTATGGATCTGTTCTCAGGGAGATGAATAATCTGTAAGTATATTTCTAGGGTCCATTCCCTTGGGGTCTGGATGTAACAGCTAATACACGAGCCACTCAAGGTCCTCAAAGAAGACCACGTCCTAAGTTTTCAGGCTTGTGCAACCACTGATTCCAGCAGAAACTCAAATGGTTGCCTGTTCACTGGCCTAATGCATATTTCCTAATAAGGATGGTCTTCTCGAAGTTTGTAGCTAGAGATTCCGCAATTAGGATCACCCCATAGATTCCTGAGTCTCTTCACCCAATTAGCAAGCATTCGTGACATAAAGCCACGAGATGTACTTTTTTTGTTTGGAAGTATTAAGACCCCATATCATGTTCCATTGGTGTCATCTCTTCAGTAGATGGACGGTCCCTCCAATAGAAATTTATGAAGTGACTCAGGAGAATTTTCCAACTAAGGTGCTAAACTTGATTGTTGGACAGTTCCCAGAATTTTTGAAAAAGAACTCTCTGAATCTGCTAACCATGCACCTGTATTCAACCAATAACTTCATCCTCTTCTTTTCCTCCCTCCCTCCAACAATCTGTAAGCCATACACGAGTTTAGAATCTGCTAGACTGCCCATCCATGCTTTCCACTTTGCTAAAGAATGCACCTCAAATCCAGATGGCAATGGGTGAAAAGCCCAGTAGACCCATATACATGTTTGGGAGGTGTTCTTTTATCAATGTGTGATAAGCACTACCACCCCCCTGCATGTGCGACCCCCCTCCGTGTGCGGACAACTAGTTCTTTCTTTTATTTTATATTTTCACATGAACCCCTGGCCCAATTAGGAGTTGAACATGCACTTCCAACTTTGGAGTGGCAGCTTATTCTACTCAAGTTAACAGCAACTGGATTCATAGTTGCTAGTAATGAAGAAAAGTAAAAAACATCTTTTATTAACTAATGAAAAATGCACGTTAAACACAAAAAAGTAACAATGTACTGCACTTCTGTCCAATGAACAAGAAGAATAACATTTATCTTCTTTACATGCCATACTCAGCTGAAGAACATTGAGTGTACCTTCTTTTCAGTTCATCCTGGCTACAGAATGTGGGTTTTGCAGCCGATATTTTCCAGATTTACTCCTATAGCTGTTCAATGGAGTGAAATGGAACCGCAACATGCCATTGTCAGAGTTGCTTGAAGAATACTTGGCGCTTTGATTCCTCTCCAGCAAGCACTGTTCTCTGCCTTGTGTTACACTTTTGCTGGTCTCAACCACATTTCCTGCCCTTTGATATGATCCAACCATGTCGCAGGAATTCCTAGAACTAACAGAACTGCTGCGGATATGCTTCCCACTAGGAACCGCTTTCACTCCTCCATCAGCCTCCTTGGTTTGCTTGTCATTAACCTCACCCACTGAGTGGTCAATTACATTGGCAGTAAAATTTTGGTACTTCTTGTCACCAAACCTGTGTATGAAACCCCAAACATTCCTCCACCTGTTGGACTTCTTGAATCCATTTGAGCTATCATTGTCTTTAACAGAAGTAACTTCCTGGGATACAGGCTCCAACTTTTCTAGATGATCATCTTTGAGAGAATTCAAATGCCAATTCTTCAATTCTCTCTCTGTAATAACCAACTTCGTCGGGTGAAAAACATCCACATTTGCAGGAGACGCCTTAAAATTCATCTCATCAACCACGGATCCCAATGCTTTCTTATTAGCGGAACTCCTGAAAGAACTTGACCTATCGAAACTACTTCCCCTCTGCGAAGACGAAGAGTCGGAATTAGTCTGAGCTGATCCACCANTCGGATCCCAATGCTTTCTTATTAGCGGAACTCCTGAAAGAACTTGACCTATCAAAACTACTTCCCCTCTGCGAAGACGAAGAGTCGGAATTAGTCTGAGCTGATCCACCAGAACTTGAGTCATCTTCATTGATCGCATTAATTGGCCCATCACGTGACATCCGACGATTATCAGACCTGTTAAACCGTGGGAGAATCATGCTATCAACAACAGATAGCATCGGGGTGAGCCGTGGAATAGTCCTCGCAATCAAATATCCATCCCAAGAAGCCCTAGGTTCATCCAATGAAAACCTCGAATCGTCCACAGACATCCGACCAGCATCAACCGAAAACCTCGGTTCTGTATCACAAGATCTTCGCCCAAATCCATATTCTCCGATCTCCGATTGTGTCTCCCTCAAATTCACTTGACGCCCAAACAGCTTCTGATTTCGCATTTCCGACAAATCGCCACCACCATTGCATCCGACATTATCACCACCAAGATTCTTCATTTTGTGCTTTTGACTCCATTTCCTCAATTTCTTGCTGAAAACGGATGCAGCATCCCAAAAGTTTCCAGCAATCTCTCTTAAATCTTTGACCTTTTTCTTCCCATTCTGGCATTCTAGATCTATGAGTTCTTGCATTGTCTTCGGCTCCTCTTCTTCAAACTCACCATCAACATTCACATTTGGTATTAAAATATCCTCGGAAACCCTGATTTTTTCTCCATTTTCCCCTTCTGCTCCAGACTCGAACACCGTATCAGTGGCAGTGAACTTGGAAAACCGTACGTTCTTCGTTTCAACCTTCAAATCTTTATTCGACTCAGTCTTCTCGTCATCGAGGTCAAAAAGAAGGGCCAGAGTCTTCTGAACCCTAACATCGCACGATTTCCGACGAGGCTCGGAGAAGCTAGAAGACGATCCGCATTTTCCGGCGGAAACCGATTTGGTACGGCGGAGCTCCGGCGATAAAGAGGAGGATAATGCGGAGGCTTTGTTCCGGACAAAGGTGGTAGTGGAGGAGGAAGAGGGTTCTGGGTGAACCGAAGGGTCGAGACCGGCGAGGCGATCGCGCAAGCATGAGGCACAGAAGCCGGTGACCGGTTCGGATGGGTGAAGGTAGCAGCCGGAGAGACGGCGGGTACGGGTATGGGGCTTGAGAGTCATTGATGAAGGTGGAGAGAGTACGGTGGGCTCATTATAGATGGAGGGTGAGGAGTGAACAAGGGTATGAGAGAGAAAAGGATGACAGAGAGCTCATTATATAACGAAGAACCCTTGATAAACCCTTCTTTACTCCACAACCTTGCTTTGATTATCTTAATTTCTCTTTCTGAAGACAAAAAAAAAAAACTTTCTTTTTTTAATTATTTTATTTATTCATATAAACCAGTTCCATAGGACTTCATAGCTAATGTAATAATTTAATTAAGAAAATTAGGACAAGTCTGAAAAATAAAAGCTAAAATACTTTCTCTACACTCTTCTTCAAAACATTAATTTTTAAGGTTTGATCTCGAGATTGGAATTTTAAAATACTATTTTTTGAGAAATTGATTATTTGAAGATTTGATTATTAAATTCTATAATTTTTATTTTTATTGTTGAAGTTTGAATTCAATCTAAATATTTTTTTTGTATAGTTGTACTTGAACAAAAATGTAAACTCAATAATTAAGTTCGATTAAGAGGAGTGATAGATTAATACTTACGATCGAAGTTTATTGTATTTTTGCATCAAAATAAAATTTGTTGATGTTAAAAATAATTAGAATAAATTCCAATAATTCCATTTTATTGTAATTTGACTAAAAACTTTTATAAATTTTAAAAAATCATTTAGCCAGCATAGTCTTAGCGAAGAATGCGGCCTTTGAGTATCCAATGCGGATCCGGATCTAAAAAAAAAGTATCCAATGGGGATGGGTNAAGTCTTAGCGAAAAATGCGGTCTTTGAGTATCCAATGCGGATCCGGATCTAAAAAAAAAAGTATCCAATGGGGATGGGTCACTTGGCGTCTGTTTGAGGATCAGACCCTCCTTCTTCTACAGTACTTGTTGCCTGGGAGAGGGCGCCGACTGCTTGAGGAAGCCGAGAATGGAGAAGGCGAAAGAGTTTCTAAGAGTATCTGATGAACAGTCCAATCTCGTTTCACGACTCAGTATTCCTCCTCCCAGAGAAGGAGTCAGCTCAAGCTTCTACGAAGATTTTGCCCTTAGAGGTATTCGAGTCGACCGAGTCCAACCCGGTCTCGTCTCTTGCTCCTTCAAAGTCCCTCCTCGCCTAACCGTAAGAAACCCCAATTCCAGACCCCCCTTCCTTTACATGTTTTATGAGTCCCTCATGTTAAATGTTTGAAATTCAAATATGTGCAATTTAGCCCCTTTTCCGAAAATTTAAGCCCTAAAACAGTGTTGACAAATTTGGGCATTTTTGCATAATGAATATGGAATTACAGACTTGTATATATATATGTATATGCAATTTATATTGTCTACTTATGTTGTCAGGATGATTGAGTTTCGTTTTCGGATTGAATGTATATGTAATTGATATTGTCTTACTCATATTGTCACGATGATTTTGAGTTTCGTTTTCCATTGATTTTTGATAGGATAGGAAGGGAAAGCTGTCTGCGGGTGCGATTGCGAACCTAGTTGATGAAGTTGGTAGTGCTGTGATTCATGTGGAAGGTCTCCCCATGAAGGTTTCAGTGGACATGTCTATTTCATATCTTTCAACTGCAAATCTCAATGTAAGTCTCCTGCCTCCGAGTTATAATCTTCTTTTATTTTTGCAGATATTTGAATAACTTGACATTTTTTTCTGCTAATGCATCATCTGGAATCGGTGCTTTTATTTAATTACTTGCTAATCATTGATGACGATGATGATGATGGTGATGAGGGCGATAGTGTTAATCATCTGGTGAAGCTCACATTTTTGTTGCAAGATGTGTTCTCCCACCCCCAACAACACAAAAAATGAATTGCTTCTGTTATCACAGAGTTTGTTATTAGTAGAAATATTTCTCANGTGATGAGGGCGATAGTGTTAATCATCTGGTGAAGCTCCCATTTTTGTTGCAAGATGTGTTCTCCCACCCCCAACAACTCAAAAAATGAATTGCTTCTGTTATCACAGAGTTTGTTATTAGTAGAAATATTTCTCAAAATCTTCTCCATATTTTAGTCCCTACTTCCGGGTTCTTGACCTTGTTTGCTTAGGTTTTGGATGGACTGCACATTTCATATTTCCCAAATCTGTCTTGTTACAAAATGAACCGCCTTTACCAAGTGATTAGTTGTTGTAATCACGTAATTGATAATCATGCATCTAGCATTACGGTGAAGACCATTTTTGGTAATTGAAATGGAAGAAAATTTAAACAATGTGGCATGTTAAATTGTTCTAATATTACGTTGTTTTCGATTTGCAGTACTCAATATTGGTTTCTACAGGTTGTGGTAGCTAGTGATTTGGTTCTGTTTGTTACCGAGTGTTGTGTCTTACATCTCTGGCTGGCATATTGGCAGGATGAGTTGGAAATCACCTCAAAGGTTTTAGGTCAGAAAGGAGGTTACTCTGGAACAATTGTTCTCCTGAGAAACAAAACAACTGGGGAGCTTGTTGCTGAAGGGCGGCATTCGTTGTTCGATAAACTTGCTAGCAAAATGTGAAGCAAATAGCACTCTGTCGCATGTCAATTCATATCGCACCGGAAATTCATATTAGGACTATACATGGGTGTTCTCCAACTCATGAACTAGTTGCTCTCTTCTTGTATATATTTCATGTGATGTTAAGTGGTAGATGTATGGCCCAAAAAAACTTGAGTATGGATCTTTTATTATTGGTTTCGCATGTTCAATGTCATTGCCATATATTAATCCTCGTTCATCAAGCTTGTCGTGTTCATCCACCATTGTTGCTGCCTCATGATCTGCCCATGAGGTTGTGCTAGTTTCTGATAAGCATTACATTTTAAAGGCTGATAATGTCCATGTTCAATAATACTCAACGAAATCTATNGTTCATCCACCATTGTTGCTGCCTCATGATCTGCCCATGAGGTTGTGCTAGTTTCTGATATGCATTACATTTTAAAGGCTGATAATGTCCATGTTCAATAATACTCAACGAAATCTATTAGAAAGAATACTCAACGCCTTTATTCAAGATCCAAGAGAAAAGGAAGTGTTGACCTCCATATGCAAAGATTTCTGTGAGCAGAGAAATTTTGGCGGTTGATCGACCCAAAAAATTAACCAAATGTGTATTCTGATTGAAGAAAGACAGTTGAAACTTCGTAAATCAAGCATCTCTTTCTTTTCCGCCTTAATCAAATAAGGGTTGGGCCTTATTCTCCAAAATGCAAACATGTCAAACTAGTTTCCACATATGTTGTGTTGGACGAAGTTTGGCAATACAGAACTCAGTTGCAGACATTTGGTTTGCAATACAGCAGTGAACTGGAACGAGGTGTTAAAGGTTCTTTTCTCACTCTAGTTTTTGTGAAATAAAGCCGAGGGTGTTAGCTTGAAAGTGCCATGAAATATGATCAAAACCTTCTACTCAAGTCGTGGCCACCTGTGCTATTTGTGAGGCATGCCAAACCAAAATATTAAATTGGTCAAATTTTGAAATCAAATTTATCAGCTCAAACAATGTAACACACTTCTACAACAATTACATTTTCTTGGGTCTCTCTTATTTATTGGGACTAGTGGTTGCCACATCATTTCTTTCTTTTAGGGTAATGCTATACTTATCAAATTTTATTACCAAATTTTCATCTCAAATGATGTGGCATAGTTTTTTACTATCAGACGAATGGGTCTTCGTAATACTCAATGACGAAAATTGTGTCACATTATTTGGGATGAAAAATTTGGTAAGCATGATATTTTCTAGATTTACTTGTGTCCACCGAATTACCCTCGTGGCTAGTTGTGACATTATATGAACCACCTAATTTGGTGAAAAAATTTCATCATGATAGCATTATTATTTCTTAATTTGTTTCTGTATTCCCCCCCCCCCCCC